ATCCCTGAAACGAGGAACACTGACTTAGAATGTAACAGAAGATTTTAGTGGAGGAAACACTGAAATTAGTGAAGCATTTTGATGCATAATATATGCTTAAAATTAAAATGTAACAAGTGCAGTGTAACATATAAAGCATGAGACAGTGTTTAACGCGAAAATAATAACAAAAATGCAGGTTAATTTCTGTCTATAACTACGGTCAAAGCAGTGATTGTATTTTTCTTTCTCGAACAAATTCTTAGATCGCCAAAATTCTCAGTAAATTTGATAAGAGAATGAAAACAATCTGATGTTAGACAGAACCGAAAAAGATATCAAAGTTAGTTATAAAAAACTAAGATTATAAGAAGCATTCGGCCGTGACTTTATTATTATTGTATCATTCTAGCTGAAATTCTAATTTCCATTTTCAGTTTGATTTTTAGAAGCTCTTTACTTGATAAAGTGTTTTATGACTTAAGACTCAAGTTAGCTACGATAGAAATGAAGTGAAATTTCGACTCTAGGCTGCATAATTCTACTGCACAGGTTGATTGTGAAACTGCTGTCTGCATTTACAACTATTTCATGAAATTGTTTATCAGTTGGTTATGGGTTCGAGGAAAATGGTTACTAGCAAGGCTCCTGGTAAACTAAATCTGCGCACCATTCGATCTGAAAGTGATTATTGCTCTAGCTACCTGTTCCCAAAACAATTGGAGTTAAGGTCTCTAAATTTAAATATTAGTAATATAATTTCGGTATGTGAGTGTATCACTTTGTGCTACACAAAAATTAAGCAGCTTAACTTACAAATACACACCTTTACACTGGAAAAATTCTGTTCTTTCATTATTTTACAAAATAAAAATACTTTGTAGCTGTAGATTCACAGTTTAGTAGTAGTATGTAATTCCATATTAATTTGTTTACTGGATATCTTACACAGTGAAACGGGTATTATTTACCGTACGACGTTTTGAATACAATTTATTGTTCAAAACTTGAGTTTTATAGTTCTCTATGTTGCTTCGCATTCGTTGTAGGAGTAGTCAAATTTTCCAGATTTTCGAGACAGGTGTTAAATCATTTCTATTACATGTATTTTCAGTTGACTCGATAAGAAAGCTTTCGCTATCAATATCTCCCCCTACCCCGTTATTTAGATTTAAGAACTGTTCTCTTATCCCATCCTATTTTATGGTTGTGTGTAATTGCATGTAGTTTCATAGAAGAGGTATGTTCTAGATTTCTTATCTTGTTAGTGTCAGCTAATCTACATTTTGCTAGGTTTTCGTGCTTCAGTAGTCTGACTGACCCTATCCTACTACTATGACTTATGTTTGAATTGACAGCCATTGCAGGTTGTTAGATAGAGAAAATTATTTTGCTTAATGGGTTTCACTGGATCCTTTAACCAACATAGTTTATTTCCAAACGAGTTTGTGGATTTGAATGCCCACTTTTATTCCTGTTTTGTTAAGAATTCTTATTCCCAAAGTTCTAATTGATATCGCAACATTCACTCTACATCACAATTGTTAAGTGGAAGCTCACTGAATTATTTATTACAGGTGACTTAGTGAATGAAAATCAACTAAGAGGACCTAGTTTATAAGCGTTTACTGGATACCGTTCCATTTTTCAATGTCGCACTTAAACCTCAATTCAGATGACACTAACTGTTTTCTTCTTTGTAGAATCAACTGTTAACAAATAAGTTTTTATATCATACAAATATGCGTGTTGAAACTTCATACTTTCAATTTGGGTTCTGTCCTTCCATTCACCTAGTTAAGCGATTTACATATTTCTAGCTGGAATTGTTCTTTTGCACGTTATCTGAATTATTTTGCAAGAGGCGAAGGTGTTTTTTTCCACTAAGATATTAATCAAAGTTGGATGGTCTTAAGAAAGATTACTTTATCACATCTTGATCTGGGAATGGAAAATAAAATAATTTTAGAAATTCACGAGTATAATAAGGAATAATAAGTGAACGCAAACACAACAACAATGAAAATATTTGTCTATAATAGATCTAGAAAAAAGCATCAAGAATTCCCTCTTCTATTTTTGAGATATTTGTATCAATAAAACCAAATTCAGGGCCGATTCAGCTTTTACAACAGTGTTACTGTGAATTTCAAATATTATTTTAATAATTTAATGGATTTATGATGTTATTGTGAAAAATCAACGAGTTATTCATCAGTCATTACTCATGAAATGTCTGTTTTCTTCTTGTAATTATTGAAAAAAATGTTATTTAACTCTAAGATTTTGGCTTCATTCACTTTTTCCTTATATACAGCAAAATATTTAGTATACTACTTAAATAGAGGGACATGAGTAGTTTGGTCATATGTTGATTCGATATTAGTTATTTCAGTATGACGTTTACTTGACTAAAAATTCACGGTTTTTGAATGCTGTGTTGCTTGATTTATACTGCGATCTTCTACACTGGATTAAGTTCATTTCACAGATGAGTTAGCAGCATCAGTAGCTAAGAATCGCTAGTGATGGACCAGAAACGCTTCCTAGACGATTGTAATTAGGACACAGTCTTGGTTTGTAAGATGTATTTACTGAGTAGGTCTTTATCATTGGAAGTGTCAAATATCTGGCAAATAAATTCACGGGAGTTATTGTTCGTCTATGTGTATGATAACAGCTGTCCTGCTAAATGGTTTTACTTCAACCTTGATCGAAGGGAACCAGACACCAGAGGTAAGTGACTAGCTGCTAATCAGACTATCTGAGACTGCTTTAGTTTGAAATACGGTTAGCGAATTGGTTTCATATTTCGGCCAATAAAGCATAGAAGTAGTAGTCCTAAAGGTGATAGTTCGACGCTTTCTTACCGGTGTGCATTAACCTGCATCGTAGTCTACCTAAGATAATGTAATCATAACTTCACAGTATTTAAAGAAAGATAAATTCATTGCATTTCACAAGTGCAGCGTTGGTGGTTTGATGGATTGTTCGTCAGCCGCCTACGTGGTCCAATTGTGATTCGTGGCAGACACACTTCTAAACTGCGCTTAGCCATCAGTAAGACCACTACTTTTATTGAAAATTCAAAGCTGAAGCTCGAAGCCAAGACGACAAAATAAATTGACCAGTAAAAAGTAAGTTGACTTAATGAAAATGCTCACGGACTGCTTTTGACTAGTGTTTTATAGTGATTGATTTCACCGCTTTTTCATTAAGGCATGAAAAATTTCGATGACTAACCTCCACTGTGGCAAGGGATTTTCTGATATTAGCAGCAAGATTTCGTGTAATAGTTAATAAAGATCCTCTGCAGGAAGCTACTGGTCAAATTAAATATGTTTCGTGATGAAATAAAAATCCCACACAGTACTATCCATTAGTTTATAAAGTGTATTTCATTCTCTTAACGCCTATAAAAAGAAACCAAATGAAAGCCGTGAATGATTTACATTTTCATCCACTGCTTAATTACAAGAGAGTAAATGTATGAGTGGAACAATCACAGTGTCTAGAAGTTTGAAAATATGATATTCCGAGGTAGAATGACGTCGGTTATGGAATAACATAGCATTGTTCACCTAAAGATTTTATCACTCACTTAGAGTTCTTTTTAATCTGAATACCTCTGGTTTGAATAAAATTACTGACCGCAAGATATGCACTTTTTTATTGGTGCTAATGGTTTTGTGAAAAAATTCTTTTCGATGGTTAGCTCCACAAAGCTATATGATTTTTACAGTGTATAGTTTTGTCTTTGGTGTGAATATGATAACAAAATGAAACCGTACTTCTAAGTTTTTATTTCCTAGTGAAATGAAGATGAAACAAGACAGCTTTTGTGATGTTTTTTGATGAAATTGCAATACCTTCATTTCAGACAGGAAAGTATGTTCTAGTTCAATCGTGGATAATTGCTTGTCGCCAAAAGATTGAAAGAATAACAAGCATGTTTATTCATCTGAAAATTCTAGTTACGAATGGACAGTAAAACTTATTCAGCACATTGCATTCTCCTTACATACATGAGCTAATGTGAACTGACATGATACGAACAGATTTGCTCTCTAAGCTGGGTGGTCTTAGCTAATAACGAACGAAACAGCAACCTGGTGTTAAGATCACTTTGATTTGAGTGGCTGACGCTGGTGGTTGACATGAATGGTCACATTGTGATTTGAGTATTTTGGGTTTTTGAAATGAAGCCATAATGAAACTATGCCCAGAACATGTCAGCTGAGGAATAACTACTGTTAATAACGGTAATGTTTTTTTCGTCACATCATAGCATTAAGATCAAATGATCTGAAGAGTTTTTCTCCAGAAAGTTTCATTGAAATGATGATATCCCAGTGAATTTTTAGTACTAAACACATCACAACATATTTGCGGATGGTAATATGCATAAATAGAGTACAAATTAGTTAATATCAAAGGAAGGTGTCAAAAATTAAAGTGAATTGCTATTTAAAATAATGACTGTACCTTAACAAAAGCGGATATGCGTTGATGGGTTTAGTCCTTAGGGTCAGTACTAAAGGAATCCTATGAGTCAAGTTTGCAATGTGACGACCAACTTAGGTGATGTAACATAGCGATGCAATTTTATCTGACAGCAGTCGACAGGAAGCTTTAGAATTATGTTTTGTGTCGGCTGTCCCTCGTCAGCAAAGAGTGTCTGCAACCTCGCTAAAATCGATGGTTCTAGTTCAGATTTGTGCGAGATGGCAGAAGTGTATTGCGGATAGGTTCTAACATGAACGAAACCTAGGTCTTTGGCATCTTAGTGATCGCTTTCAATCGCCCAACAGAAAAACACATAAATATACAACATGAAGTTGCTGAAAATCATGTACTTCCCTGTATTTTAGGTGTGATTACTGCACACACTGTAAATTTCATTTTGCAGGTACAAATATGGTTGTCTATTCATTCTGATTCTGTACATGATTAGTAGATTATTTCTTTTGTATTATCTCTAGTAGTAATGTTTTTGTATCTTCTTTTCATTGTTTTTGTAGACGAACGTGATCTCATACAGAAAAGTCTATTTACTAATTGGATTAATGCTCAATTAGATGGAGTGTATCCATCAGAATTTCTTTCCTATTTGTCTTATCCAAATGATCCGCATAACAATTGGACATGTTATAGTGGATCCGTCAATACATCAATGCCACGTTCTCCATCACTGCATACCTGGCAGTCATCACCGTGCACACATAGATCTCATTCAGCCGGACATACATATCTAGTCAAAGAATTATACAATGATTTAAGAGATGGAAGAATTTTATTACGTTTACTAGAATTACTATCTGGAAGACACTTTGTAAGCTAATACAAATGTTGATGTAATTTTCTTGCACTCTTCGTATTGTTATATTATACCATATTATTATCCCCTTGGGTTTCAAGTGGAACATAAGGCTTCAACAGCACATCTCCACTTCATCCTGCTCTCTGTAGTTCTTCTTAGCTGGGTCCACTATTGCCCATAATCTCTTGTCTCCTCCTCACGCGATCTCCTCCATGTCACTCAAGGGTGCCCATTCTGTCATTCAATGGTCTCCTGAGAGTGTTTCCATCTCCATCTCCTCCTATATATTTTGTTGGGTGATGCGTCTTTGGTTGGTTCATTATCAGTTCTCCTTGATCCCTACCCTTTGCAAATGGCCATCTGATCTTCAGTATGGAACAAAAATAGGCGTTGACAAAAGTCTGAAGCTTGTTGGAAATACTTATGCTGTAGCGTAAGCCAATTCTCTGAACCAAATAAAGGCACTGACTTGAAATTAAAGTTGAAAATCCAGTCTTTCTGCTTATGATGTAGGCAGCAGACTTCCGCACTGATTTAAGATTAGTAACGGTCTCTTTTGTTTCTCTGGTCCTGACAGGCTTTCACATCCTCATCCGTGCCACACATAATTTTCATACATGAAATGAATTACTTTCATTTGATATACATGAGAAGATTCACTTTTCCCTATGACGATATTCACATGAACCACGAAAGTCAAGTTTGATAACCATAGTCTAGTGCATTTGAAGATATAAAATTTCCAAAAGAATGGTTACTGAAGAAAGAATATTCTTTTCGATAAATTCACCCTCAGGTTCTACAGTTATATACACCTAATAGTGAATTAATTAGTGTTGTTAACAACATCAATGTTGTTTAAACAATATTGAATCAGTAATAATATCAACGGATTACAGTTCAATAGCATCAACACAACAATGACGTGTAAATCAGAAAAATTAAGAAAAATAATAATACAAATTCATGAATTTATAGTCTCCATTGAAGGCCAGGGAAGTGGTAGTGGTTGGACTTGTTTCTTTTGCCCACAGAGCGCCGGTTCTTTAAGGCGAATGGCGATAGCCCCTGCTATTTGGAGTCTGCGGTACCTAGATGTTTTTGGAAATTAATATGGTGTCTGACAGATAATAGAGAAGGTCTCTTCATTACTGGCTTTGTAGCGGGTTTGGATCAAGTGTTATAATATGGAGCTATTTGTGTTTATATTATTATTATTATTTTGTTCCTTTACGTTCCCAGGGGATCACAGCGCATCAAGCTAGAGCTATTAAGTTTCGATGACAGTGGTGTTTATTTTTACGGGATGGAATGGTCAGCCCCATGATCAACCTTTCCTCTTTACCGATATTATTCCCGGCTTAGTGAGGTAAGAGAGTATGTCAGCCGGGGATATCACCCCTAATCATATGCGTGATTGCCGAGCATTCTACCGCTAAGTTATAAGTGTTTCTAACTACACCCTCATTCAACCACACACGTAGACATTCTCGGGCACAAAAACCGAGTTCCTAGAGCAACGCCCAATGTAACTCTCTCCACAAGCGCAGTTGAAGTGGTAGATACTTCATCTTTCAAATGAGGAATCATCATCGGTCGTGTAGAAAGTAAGACTTGTAGATTGCCAGCATTAAAAGGTCTTTGAACTGATTTTCTTAGCTTCTTCTTAATTATTTTGCTAGGTACATCACCCTTGAACTGCAGTCGTATGTATAAAGGTTTATTGTTTACGGATAGTGAATATTCTTTCCAACTTTCTTAGTCATATGTTTGTTTACTGATGAATTTGTCTGGATGGCTGTTTTCAATCAAGGTAGCATATACAATCCTTAATTCATCTTCACTTACCCCTTCTGAGCATACAGCTCTAACCTTGTGGCTGAAGGTCGATTGATATATTCAAGATGGCTGATTATTAGTCCATGTAGCTACATTTATATACCAATGCTTTACAAAACCAGTTAACTTCACTAAAAGAGAACTGAAAGTGACTTCTTATGTAATATTTATTGATGTAAGTCGTAAGTACATGCGATTTGAAGAGAAGCAATGAGTTAAGTATAACAAGACGAGTGATTATATTAATTTGCAACCCTTAATTTGAGATAAATTAAAAGGGATCTTTTTAGATACCATTTTAGATAAAGTCGGATGAAATTAGATAATACAGTTGAAATAAAATGAATTGCAGTTCACATTTGCATAAATCAGGATTACAGTCAAAAAGTTCTTAGCATCACTACCACGTGACCACTTTCTTATTATTTCGATTTCAGATAAGAAAGATAAAGTGCATGTCTGTTTCATTTCGTTAGTTAGCACAGATTTGCTCACTAGCTGGCAGTAACGGTCGAACCAGAAATGACATTAATTTATGCTAAGGTTCTGGTATTTTAAGAAAACGGTATCTGAAACAGCGGGTTTCATACTCTTGGTGGAAGCTTAAATGTTTTCTCTCATGATATCGTACTTTTCTTTACTAGTCTGTTGAGAAGTCTTGTACCGGTGGAGATGTTTGTTTTTCTTTGGCTGACAAGAATCAAATTTCGGGGGTAATTTAGGCCAAAATGTAATCGGTTACTTTTTCTCAAAATTTCAGAGGATTAATCTCACAATTGTGTATTCTAACCCAGGAGCACAACATGAAAGGAAAGACTCTGCACTGCTGTTAAACTTTGGCTGTAAAAGGTACCTCATATTGGTCAATACTGAAATATGCTGCCCACATCGGTTATGACCCAGTGGTTGACTGGTCTATGAGACTGAAAATAACTAAACAAAACTAATAATTCACATCAAAACTTAACGGCTACAGTTGTAGTTTACCAAGACTTTTTCAACGTTTCAGCCTTTCAGGATTTACTAAACGACAGCTACTGTTATGATTAACTGAGAAAATCATTCCTGGGTGGAGTAAAATGCATAAAGTGATGTTCATGCTACTGATTTTGATGTATATTTGATTGTTTGAATATTTAAAATGTCAGCAGAGTTATACTATTAAAGTTGACGCATAAACTCAATGGAGTAGAACAGCAAGCAGGCGTTTATAAACACAAACAACACACACATATGAAATACAGCGTAACTCAGAAATAGACATTAGTGAGCTGGTTGGAAACAGTTGAGTGGTTGTGAGATTGTCAAATGCAAAATAATATTTGTTAATTTTCAAGCAAGTTATTCTTTTAGAGAAAAAAATCGCTCACATTGCATATCGTAAAAGGACTAAACGTTGACTATCTAACTAGTCGTACTTAGACTAATTAAATAAATTTTCGACTAAAAGTTTTGCTTTCCAGCGTTTTAACTCCATTACAGACATTTCATTTAGGCAGCTGACATAAACCGATTATTTAGATTAAACTAAGGGAACAGTATGAAAAAAAAATTTGAAGGATGACAGTTGTTTGATACGAAATGAGTCTAGTGATTCAACAGTCCATTGAATTATTTTGTAGTGTTTGAAACTCTTCATGATGGCTTACTGTCTAAGTCATATAACATTACAATGGAATTCAGTCTATTCTGCTGATTATTTTAAAATAAACTCAAATGACTTAGTCTGAGATCAAACACAACTAAATACTGAACCCAAATTTTAATCAAAAAACTTTGTAGTGTGGCGCAAAACATGATCGCCAGTTCGTTTAGATGAAGAAATAATAGCTTACACTGCTGCCTATGATTTAATTATATTATATTATTCCCTTGGGTTCCGAGTGGAACATATGGCTTCAAAACACATCTCCACTTTCTTCCATTTTCTGCCGTCCTCTTCAACTTGAACCACGATTGCCCATAATCTCTCATCTCCTCGTCTCATGATCTCCTCAATGTCACCCTCACACTGACGACCCAGTCGTCGCTTCTCATTTGGATTCTACTCGAGGGACGGCCTGGTATGCGACTTCATTCGATGCCTCTTCAATGTATGCCCGATCCATCCCTACTTTCGCCTATATACTTGTTGAGCGATCGGCTGTTGGTTGGTTTGTTGCCTGCCAGGCAGAGTTAAGTGTTGCTAATTTCTTCTGGCCGTCTGGCAATTTGATCTTCAGTATGGAGCCAGCGAAGGCATCTGTTGATGAAAGTCTGCAATGCCCTGTTAGAAATTCTTTTCGCGACAAGCTGGCCGAGTTTCTGACTCGTATAGAAGAACTGACTGACTTGACATTGGTGCTGAAAACCCGAATCTTGTTCTTTATGCGGACTGAGTGAAGCAGAAAATTTTCAAATTGGTTTCAGGCTGATGAAAGCGTATCTTGCCTTCCCGATTCTGACTTTGACACCTTCGTCCGTTCCGCCTGTAGTTGCCTATGATTTGGTGAAGATAATTCATTCCAATTTCTACAGAAATTTGAATCAGCTTAAGTTTGAAAGCAAGTTTGGTAAGCACTTTCAAACTGATTGAAACATTTGATTTGTAGTTCTGCATTTGATAGAGGTGGTAATGGAACCTCTAATTTAGTTCTTATTTGTGCAAATATAATACCCATTTCGTTTGTAATTTGTATTTTACTTTGAGCTTTATGCAAATGGATTATTAGTACTCATTGTGACCTGTGGTAAAGAATAGACCACTAAATAATAAAATGAAATTGAAATACAAGTTGGACTAATAGTGTTCACATATAGCGTCTACAGATTTATATTTTCCGACAGAACTTCTAAACAGCTAATGTAGAAGGAGTACTGTTATTCAAACATCTGCTTCACCTTTCTTCAGCATGCACTGTGTAGACAGAGTAATAGATGAAGACTTAATACTTCTATATTGGATAAGTTTATTTGCTATAACACACAGTGACGCCACATTGATAAGTGAATGAGGTTTCGAGCACAAGACATTCACAGAAATTCTTAACTTGCCTTGTAAAGCAAGTGCCAATGTGTGTGTTACATCAGTCAAACTTATGTAGTATGGAATTACACGCTGTTACACTGCTTAAACTATGCTTTTAAGTAGTTAAATCTGTGCCACTGTGATTTTGATTTCGGGCTGTTTAATA